CGTGGGAGGACCGGCCCGCGGCAGCCCCAGCCCCAGCCCCGCTTGGCGGGCGAGTCACCGGCTAATGCACTCCCGAAACACAGGGCAGAGCCCCCCGACTTGCAACGTTAGCGCCGTGCAACCTCCTTCCCGCCCCCTCCGCCGGGGCTACCCTGGTTATTATTGGGCGCGCAGCTGCCGCCCGCATATATTTAGGCGTGTCGGGCCCTGCCCCGGAGGGGGTAGAATCCATGCAGAGCTCTTTGTCTGGCGCCTCGTCGCCCTGCCCGTGCGGCAGAGCTGCGCCAGCAGGTGTGGAGGCTGGCGGCAGCGACATGCATCCTTCCCTGCAGGCTGGCTGGGCGCGGCGTGCCCCTGGAGCGCTGTCACAGCTGTGCCCCGTTGCTCTCGCAGCTGCTCCGGGGGGCTGCCGGTGCCCGCCGGGCACCTCCCCAGCTGAGGAGGAACCCCGGCCCGCTGCAGGGCGCTGGGCCCAGGGAGAGCTGGCGCTGCAGGAAGGGGAGGGGAGCCTCTGTTTCCTCCTGCCGCAGCTGCAGAGCGCGCTAGGCTGCACTTGTGTTTCTTTTCCTCCCGCCACCGGGCTCTTGCGGGAGCCGAGCTCGACCGGCCAGAGGAAACGCAGCGCCGCGGCAGGTAAGGGCAGGGCGCAGAGAGGGAGGGTCCGCGGTTTCCAAGCCTCAGCCCCACGTATCGCCGTGCGGGAGAAGTCCCGGAGGGGGATGGCACCGCCGTCTCTGGAGTGTCACCTGTGCATCGAGTTCTAGCCTGCCCGCGCCGCACGCGTGCTGCTGCCGCTGGTTCTCCGCGCGCAGCCACCCCGACCGCAGTTTTGCGCTCGAGTGGAATCAAGGGGTGGCCCGAACTAACCGGCCTCAGTTTACCCAGGTGTAGTGCCTCGGGGCGAGGAGAGCGGAGTAGTGCGGGCTGCTAGTTGGCTGTGTAGTCGTCCCCTCTCTCTAGTTAGCGTCCCATCGGTTTGGGAGGCGGCCTCTGGTGTGTGTCCAGTCATCTGAAGAAGTGGGTTGTACCCACGAAAGCTCATGATGCCATCTACTTGTTTTGTTAGATGCTGTTAGATGGTTACTTGGGTTTTTTTTAAAGTTTTTCCAGTTACAGACTAACTTGGCTACCCCCTGAGGCTCTGATGTATGTAATGTTAGGTGTCCCTACATACAGAAAAGGAAAGGAGCTGCTCTTTGTTTGCTAGGTTATTTTTATTCTTAAAGTCATTTCTTTCTCCTTTCTGTCCTGGGTTTGTATTTCAGACCTTCCAAACCTTCGGGAGGAATAAAAAAGCGATGCCGGTTTACAAAAGAAACGGGGCTTTGGGCTATTGGTGTATCAGGAGCACATTCGTGGAGTTGTGCGCAAACTACCACTTCCTTAAGTCTGCTAGCCCTTCGTGGCCATTCCATTGCTTTTGAGATAAGTGTTTTCATGTATAGAAAGACAGAATAATAATTGCCAAGCTGCAGCTGTTCCTGTGCTTCAGGAGCATAAACTCCCTTTAAAGGTTTGTAACATTTTTATAATTAAAAAAAACTTCCTAGACAAAATATGTGATACATTCTTTTTGTTTAAACTTGAACTAAATTTATGAAGCTTGCACTAGGGGCCATTAAAATGTAGCATAATAAAAAAGGTATAGATGCTCTCTTTGCAATTCACAATTCCAAATCAGTTTTGCATTCACATAACTTTGCTTTGCATGCTGCCCTTTGTAAGCTCGTTTTAAAACCTGAGCTTCTTTGAATATCTGACGGTATCAATTGAAATCTTGACTTAAGAGGATTCTATATTTGAGGCCCTGGGAGGCGAGGAGTGGGAGACTTTAAAAAAAAATCCAAGTCCAATACCCAAGTCCTAACTTTTTTGTTAGTTTTTAAAGTGCTCCAGTATCACTAGGTTTTTTTTTGTTTTGTTTTTGTTTTTAATGAATTGAGTTATGCCAAGGTTTAGTGCTCGTACCTGAGGTAGTTTCTCAACTGAAAACCCATAATGATTCCACTGAGAGGGTATTACATTGCAAAAGCTCAGGGTCAGATGTTGACCTCACTGAAATCAATAGGAGTTTTGCCATTGAAGGCATGATTTCATGATCTGTGTCTATGTCAATGGCAAACAACTTCATTTAAAAAAAACCTGGGAAATTAAACTTGGAAAGCTACTCATTGATATTAGGTTTGTTCTTAAGAGTAAAAATTGTAGATGCTGTGAGGTTTATTATTTTTTAAAACCTCCTGGCTTTTCTGGATTTAAACCCTTATTGCCGTTTCAATATTATATATGCTTCATCCTTGTTTATATTGGATTGCAGGTGACAGGGCAAATAGCTTCTTTTTCTGAATTACATTTGTGCCCTATTCTGTTCCCAGTGAAGTCAGATATTAAGGGGATCAAATATGAGTGGTAAATGTCCCTGTTCATCTTTTGAATAGAAATTAACCAGTTCCTAAAAATAATTCAAAAGGCAGTTTCCAGTGTCAAACTGTTTAAGCTGAATCAATATTGAGGGTTGTTTAATTCACTTTTATAAACTCCTAATTGAAGTAAACTGATGAGTTTATGTGCAGCCTTATAGTTTTATCTCTACTTCAATGAAGTTGTTAAAGATGTGGGGTCTTGTGAGTTCTTTCTGATACAATTTATTATTTGACTGTATTTTTAATTTAACCCTCTTGGGTTTTTTCAAATTATGCAGAAAGCAATGATTTTTCCAGTTCTTTTAAATAAAAAAAATAGTTACAAAATTTAAAGCAAGTATATTGAAATGTGCATATGCTTTAATGATCTTTAATGTGGTTTACTGTTTTTAATCCAATAATGGTAAAGTATATTAACACATACAGCCTGTTCCTGCAGTTTTCTTTTTTAACTTTAAAAAGGTTCACCTGAGTAAAAATAGATATTTACCATAGCAAGTAGCTGCATAGGTCTCTGAAGTGTTTTATATTAAACGTTCTAACTGGAACATAAATTATGGACCAAATTCTGTAGACATTCGCTACTGAACATAGTACTCGTTATTACCATGAGGCATTCCATTGACCTCAGTGGAATCCTCATCCAAACATTGAATGCCCCATGTTTGTAAGAAGTATGGGGCTTACACCCACAATAAGAAGCATTTCTTCATTATGTGCTAGAATAAGGAAAACTCTAAAACTTGTTAATGCTCCAATGGTCTTAGACTTCACTGCAGTTTATTCCTAAATTAGAAAAAAAATAACTTTTTTTCAAAATAATGTTTTCAAATTATATTATTATTCCTTTGTACAAGCATCTGGATTTTTGAATTGCTGGCTTCAGAATACTGACTGTTCGCTACATCTTCCATTGGACTCCATTTCTAATTGAAAATAACAATGCTGGAGATTAGGTGTCTTCAATCCTGCAGTGAATAGTATTAGGATATCCTTCTGTAAGATAAACTGAAGACTATCAAGCTATTGATACCAACCTAACACGACCTACTTTGTGACACCATGTTGGCTAATACATAGTGGGGTTGAAGTCATGTTGGTCCCAGGAAATTAGGGGGACAAAGTGGAAGAGATAATATCTCTTATTGGATCAACTTGGTGAGAGAGAAGCTGTCGAGCTTACACAGAGTGCTTCTTCAGGTCCTATAAGCTCACCTGCTTATCTCTCTCTCTCTCTCCAAACATAAATTGATCCAATAAAAATATCGCCTCACTCACCTTGTCTCCCTACATTAGCTAAAGTTACCTGTCTTGTAGTTTTTGACTTTTTTTCAGAATACTTCTTGCCTATTAGAGGGTTGCTATTCTTTTAACTGTATTTGCTGTGCATGTACACTGAAGAAAACATACTTATAAGAGGATGTAACTTCAAATAGGTCATAAGCATGCTAAAATTATGAAACAGTTTGGTGGTAGTTTCTGAAGAGAGCCCTATATATACACCCCTGGTTTTGTAACTCCACTTCAATTCATCCGATGAAGTGGGTTTTACCCATTAAAGCTTATGCCGTAATAAATCTGTTAAGTCTCAGAGGTGTCACAGGACTCCTCCTTGTTTCTGCAGTTACAAACTAACATGGCTACCCCTCTGAGACTGCTTGTTTCCAAGTGAGGGGATTTCCTTAAGCATCTTCAAGATCAGAATGTGCCCCCAAAACATTGAAAAAGGCTCATCTCGTCAATAATTTGATACCAAAGCATAGATGTTTAGGACTAGAAGGGCCATGCATAAAACCTCTAGTCCAATCTGCTGTACTGCGGCAGGATTAATTAGGCCTGGAATAATTCTTGTCATAACCAATACCCCCTCTGAATAACATGGACACTCCTACTTTTGTGTCAGAAGTGTGGATTTTCTTCAGTGATGCCGCCTTAAAAATTGGGTTCACAAATGTTAAACTACGCTAACTGATTATTTAAAATTTAGTCTGTTAAACATAATTATGCTCCACAGTTGTATCCAGACAACTGAACAGAATTTGAGTATAAAACTGTACAGTCGATTGTTTCATGGGTAACACAAATGGAATAGTAATCGAGCATCTACTTGGGCTGCCTAGAATACATCATAAAACTCTGTAAGAATTCACAGAACTTTACAGCATCTGTTCACTTTTGCAAGTACGCACGTAACTCATGATTAAGGTGTAGTACCTTGAGGAGAGATTAGTCTTTGCAAAAGGTCCTAAACTATAAAGTAACTTTTTAATTGAAGAATTACAAGCAGTTTTTCAGCAATTTGTTCAATTTTTATTCAGAAGATGCAGTTTGAGAAGATTCAGAATTTTTTCTTTTTATGGTGGTACGAATGTGCTGAAACATATGGCTGTCAAGGAGGGTGAAAGTACCATCATGCTCTTGCATTACACTTGGCAGTGCCACCACAGTTTAGTTTTTAATCCTAATCATTCCTTTCCTTGAAAGCCTCTCTGATTTGTAGGTTCTCAACTTTTCTTGACAGTACCCCCTTTCAGGAAGCTACCTTATCTTGCATATCCCTAAGTTTTTGCCTTATTTAAAAATTACTTGTTTAAAAAAAATCAAACAAGTACAAAAGCAATCACAGCACACTTACTGAAAAATTGTTACCTCTTTCATGTTACTCTGTAAGTATAAAATAAATCAGTTGGAATATAAATACTGCATTTACAGAACAGTACAAACAAGTCACTATCTGTATGAAATTTTAATTTGTACTGACTTGATTAGTGTTTATCTAGCCTGTGGTAAACATAGGCAAATATCTAGATGAGATGAGGTGTGCACTGGAAGACATCTAAGTACTCTGAGAGATTTGTGTACCCCTGGTTGAGAACCACTGATCTGAAGTAATCTAAATATTCTCTTACATTTATTTTGAAACTTAAAATCATTTGCGGAGAATGATCTCTGCCCTTCTCTGATTTTTTTGGGGGGGGAGTGGGCGAACAAAACTGTCAACACTCCTGTCAGCTCTTCCATTGATTGTTTTTTCAACAGAATCACAGAACCTAACTAGCAAGGAAAGAAAGTTGTTTAGGGGTTGAGTATGAGAAAAGGGCAGATTTACATTTAAGAACAGACTTTTTAAAGTTGTTACATTAATACAAAATGGCATTGTACCATTTATTTTTCGTTTTAATCAAGGTCACTTAGTTGGATATTCCTCCTCCTCATTACATTATACTGCCTTTAGACATCCATTTGGCTCTCATAAATCTTGTATGTAAATAGTACTACCTGCGATTTAAACTGTAAGGGGGGGGAAAAGACTGACTAGTCAAGGTGTGGCCATAACAGGAGTGCCTACAACCCCAAAATTATATACAGTACATGAAATGTGAACAATACATCTGGAGGGTGGATCTAAATGAATCAGACATTTGATTCTTGGCGAACAGAAATTTTCACAAGTAAAAACTTGTTTTCTTGAAAAAGCTGTCTACAAATTTTACATGAGTTTTAATTTGGAGTCAGCAGTCAGAAATTGTTCCTGATGTACCGTCTCCTCTCTACTTTCACTTCTAATAGACATTGCACGCTAGACAGATGAACATGGGACTTTTCTTTTGCTATCTCATTTATTAAATATAATGTTTTCATACAAAAGCTGTTGAAGTCTGTCAGGGCACATACAAATTAGTTGTAGGTTTTTTTTCTTAAAAAAAACCAAAAAACCCAAGAGATGTACAATGAGAGAAGATTGATTGCCTTGCAGCACTTGGTATTGTGGACTTCAGCCTAAATGTGTTTGCTGTCTATTCCTCTTATTAGCAAATGTGTATGTAAAAATCAAAATGCTCTCCATTATTGCAAATATGTTTTAAAAATCCAGAAAACTACATTCAAAGAATGTTCAGACTGCAAAATCAAACATTCAGATTAGTTCTGGTGTTTCTTAAAGGTGCTCCAGCAACCTTAATTTGAGCACTTTATGAATGCATTCTGACACAATCTAATTCTGATTACGTGATCACATACTGCCCTATCTCAGAGGGGTAGCTGTGTTAGTCTGTATCCACAAAAACAAGAAGTACTGTTGCACCTTAGG